TATATAATGGAAAGGCATTTTTGGGGGCATCATTTATACAGACCAGAATGCTGTACAGGTTGTGTTACTATGTCTGAAGTTTTCAGATTTGGCCTACTGTTACCTGTCCATAATCTCAAATCAACCAAAAATCAGTCCAATAATGCACAATTGCTTAGTTGCAATTTTGTACTTTTTTAATTTATGATCTGGAATAGTGTGAGATTCTCCTTCACATGGGGCTGGTTTTGATTCCCAAGGAGATACGGTTTTGTTGTGAATAGAGGTGTCCTAAGAATGAATTATAACCTATGGATAAGACAGTATTTCACCTTATTTTAGAGTATAACTTGTTTCTCATTTTCTTGGTCAGATGAATTTTCTAAAGAAGAATTCAATTTGGTTTTTTTTTGTCTCAGTAAAAATGTACTACTTTTAAATCCTCCATCACAGGAGTAGAAGAAACGTTACTCACAATTTTAGGGATTTTTCTCTTTCTTAACTCTCTCTGATCAGGTTACTGGAGAAAACAGCTGGATCATGTCTGTGCTCACCTTAGAAGCTATGCCCAGAACAATCTTGAATTCAGAACACTGATTGGAGAACCTCGAATGGGAAAGGTAGGAAGGAGTTCGTGAGTAGTATCTTCCTATGGAGTGCCATGAAAAGATTATTGTTCCTGCTAGATGAACATTGGAAAAATAAATGTCTTCCTTTTCTTTAGACCTTGACCTGTTTGTGTGTGTAATTTGTCTCGTTTTCTTGTTCCATTTTTTGCTCAGTCTTTTACTGAAGATTTTTTTCAGCTTTCTTTCCTATGGCAGTTTCTATTCCTCTCTTAGCTTACAGCTGTAAGAGAACTGATAGAAGCGAGAAAGCCCTCGCTTAGCTGCTGTTATAGTGTCCCACAGCAGGCAATCAAGAAACAGAAGAGATCGCTGACAGCTATGTAGTTGGTCAGTTAAATAAGCCCTACTAGAAATTGGATTTAGATTATATGATTTCCTCTGCTCTGGGCTGGATTATACCAGCAGATAGCAGCAATTCTCTTTGGCTATATAGTCTACTTCTAGTGTAAACTATACCAGTATTACAGGAACGGGGTATTGCTTTTCTTACTGGAGATGAAGTCTTCAGGCTGTCACCAAACTGCATTAAAATGATTAAAGGGGTGATAGCAAGAAGGTGGAAACTGGAGATTCTTCCTGAAGAGTCCTAGAAGTTAGGGCTGGTATGACTGAGAGATGATTTGGTTGCTGTCCTGAGGGAGGATCAGCTCTGCCTAAACTATTCGTGACAGATGTTTGTCTTGAAGCTTTTCAAACTCACCAACAATGGAGATTTCACAATTGCCCCAGGCAGTCCATTTCTGTGCTCAATTATCCTTGCTGTTCAGCTGCAGTACTGTATTGCTTTCTTTGGCAGCTCTGCTGGGTTACGGAGTTGCATCCCCTCACACTGCTTCCTAGGTGCTGCCAGCACAACTGCTTTTGGCAATGTCCTGTGGACTGGGTCAGTGACTGACCCAGGCTACAAATAGCCCTTGTTACAGTTCAAGCTCACCATTTCTTAGCCTGTCCTGACTGATGAGACACACCAGTCAAAAGAAACAATTTTAGCACTTCGAAACAACTACTGAAAAGTTTGAGTACCAGGGGTCAGAAAGCCAATTGTAATTTGGCAGATTACACTTTTGGGAGGTACAATACTCCATCGGATACTCTGCATCTGATTTCTGTACCCACTGAGACCTATTGGGTCCACCAATATGCTCAGAAGCTGTAGTACAAGTATAAATGTAAGAGATATCTGCTTGGTTGGAGCTGAAGTTTAGGTCACTGCAACTTGTTGCCTTTGCTAGAGGATTCAAAGGTATATGCCTGAAAAATATTAAATTGCCTAGAG